TACTAGGTTTAAGATGCAAATGAAAAACAAGTTGATGTGGTTTCTATGATAGGATCAATTGTATTTTAGAAGGGCGGAATGTACTACTGGGAATGTGAAGAGGTTGTGACCAGGTTCAAATCGTTTGCGTGTTGTATTGAAACCTAAATATTGCTGCAGAGTTCGTAATGAGTGTTCCAGGCGTGTCATTAATTTCAGCATCCATTGATATGTTTCAATGCGAAAAGCAGAGACTATTAATTTCGTCAACAGAACAAAAAGATATTATTCTGTGACAATTTTACAATTATAATGGTTCTGGTTTACTACTGGAATGAGAAAATATGTTTTAATGAAACTAAATCTTTTCTCTTCAATGTTATCAGGGTTTTCACGTATTCACATTAATAACCAACACGAACTGTAGTTAAAGAAAAAGGAAATTATATTTGTTCAAGATAACTTAAGTATATATATGAAGTCTGGAGCATTTTATTGTATTGAACACAAGGACTTTGGTAATCGAAAAATAAAGACTGACGTGTATATTGCCGGTTTGTGATTTTTAGTCCAGAGTGGAGTGGAGTGGAGTGTGACAGTTACATACATACATACATACATACAGACAGACAGACAGACAGAAAGACATACATGCGAATGGCACAAGATATTTTTCTTTTTAGTTACAAAGGTAACTTGATACCTTTGTTTTTCACAAGGAGTAAATTCAATTACAGGTCATGAATCGTTGGTTCTAGTTCTTAGGACATGTTTTAGAGGAGACAAGATTAGATTTGAAACAGTTCTAACGTTTACAATAGTAAGTGCAGGTAACGGTTGTTTTGTTCTTGTTGCACGTAAATGTAGCGAGATATTTTTATTTTTTTGTTACAAAGGGTACCTAATTTGACACTCTTGTTTTTCACAAGGGAGTAAATTCAATTACAGCTGACTGCTTTGCAAGTCAGCTCATTATCTACATCTATCATTTGCGCATCCAGTGAGCGGTAGCTGTCTTTCAGGGCATCAACGTTGGCTGCAATTTTTCTCTGTGAACTCTCTAAACTAGATAATTTCTCAAGGATACTATTCAACTTTGTTTCTTGTAAGTCTCTTGACTTGAGTAAGTCGTCCATTTTGGCGAGGACGGCGTCCAGCTTGTTTGAGGTTGAGTCAGTATTGGACATTTGTAAGGTTTTAGATCTGGTTCTCACATTCATATAGAACGTTTATCGAACTTAGAAGATCATCATCCATCGAGAAAATGAAATTGACCAACTTCAAAGTGGAGAGCTCGAACTCGTGTGTCCTACCTGCGTCGCGTCATCACGTGGTTAGGTGCACTTTAATATTTTATGTACACTGATTCAAGTTTCAAAATTTTATATTAAAATTATCTCTGCATTCCAGATGCTCATTAAAGAACAGTTGTTTAGAGGTGCAATAATATTATTATTGTCAGTGATAAATTATATTTAGATGAACCATGAGGTTTGACAAATAAGGCCACCCTGTTAATGATGCCAAATTTTCATGGCCCCGTTGGTGACCGTATTTATGGGCTTCCACTGTATAAATGGCGCGGTGGCCTCATGGTTAGTGCACTCGTCTCCGAATCGAACGGTCCAGGTTCAAGCCCTGGCCGGGGACATTGTGTTGTGTTCTTGGGCAAGACACTTTACTCTCACAGTGCCTCTCTCCACCCAGGTGTATAAATGGG